TGATGGACAAATTTATGATCACCAAAATATGATGTCACAAACTTGTTTTACAATCGGCAAGTATGACCGAATCGTTCAAGTAATAAACTTGGTAAGACCAAGTATCGTTCTTCCCAAAGGACTCACGGCCTAGTTTAGTTGTGTGGTTTGTTGATTAGCTAAGACTTAAGGACGAAATATTTGGATTTTTATATGCAAAAGACGAAAATAAACATGTATGCATGAGGTTTAGATCAATGGCAAAAGCAAAAGATAAACACTTTCAATGAAATATATGTATGAATATGTTGTTGGGGTTCAATTTCATCTTATCCACTCTCATATATTTTAGGAATTCAACATTCAAATCATCATTGTTAATGCCACTCTCTAAAGTACCTTTCAAGAAGGCTTCTACCTAATTACGAGTTCATAAAATTCCTAGCATTCCTAATAATTAGTTCATCAAGTGCAGGAGCTTAAGGCAACCAATATACTTATTGGGAGAAATTCCTCGGATCTAGACTTCCCCGTACGTGTCCGTATCGACAAAACCAATAATCATGCAACGAATGAGTTAAACAATGCAAGCATTAAGCAAAGAGGAAAAACCCTAACTAATGATGAAAGAAAGCATAGATCTTAAATATAAGATGTAAAAACAATTTCCATATATGAGAGCTTCAAAAGATTACATTGATTCCCCATCAAGAATACAAAGTTTAGTTCACCATATTCATGGTGAACCTAAATGAATAACAATGAAAGAATGAAAGATAAAACCCTAGAAAGGTGAAAAGGAAGCCTAAGCATCCAAGATCCTCCTTCAAAGGGGTGGAAGAGAGAGTGTTTGCTTCGTTTCTGCCAAAGATGCCTAACCCTAGGAAACCCTAAAGCTTATATATTATTCGTAAATTACAGAAAATTAGGTCCAAGCCCATAAAAGTGCCGCTCAGCGGTAAATGCGTGAGTTGGTTTCTTCCCCTCAGCGGCCATTTTTCCCCTCAGCGGATCCCCCGTGAGCTTCTGAGTGCCGCTCAGCGGTAAACTGCCGCTGAGCGGTGACTTCGGCTTCTCCTTTTGCCCTTTTTGATGTCTTTTCTGATTTCATCTCTCTCCTTCTTCACTTCTTTCACCAAATTCACCTTAAAACCTGCACAAAAACACTGAAATCAAGCATAAACCTGTCCAGCTCTCTTATTTCTGAAAATATGAAGAAAAGCATGATTTCAAGCTAGTTTCCAAGTCTAAAGGTTGCTTTTAGTATCAATTTTAAGCATGAAAATAATAGTTTTTCAACTATTATCACACACCAATCGGTCCATGCGAAAGGGTGATCTTTTCTGGTCAACTGGGTCAACGGTGCTACTATCTTAGAGAAACCTTCAATAAACCGCCTATAGTAGCCCGCCAATCCTACAAAGCTTTTGACCTCAATGATCGAATGGGGACTCTTCCATTCCAGTATAGCTTGCACTTTAGCCGGATCCACCGAGATAGTTCCAGCCGATATCACTTGCCCTAAAAATTGTACTTCTTCCATCCAAAATTCGCACTTGGATAAATGAGGATATCATCAATAAAAACGACCACAAACTTGTCCAAGAAAGGTCTAAAAATGTGATTCATATAGTCCATGAATATGGCTAGAGCATTAGTAACACTGAACGGCATTACTACATACTCATAGTGACCATACCGAGACCTGAATGCAGTCTTCTGGACGTCTCCTTCCTTAACCAAAATCTGGTGATATCCTGATCTTAAATTAATCTTAGAAAATACAGTAGCCCTATTCAGTTGATCCATCAAATCATTAATTCTTTTTAAGGGGTACTTATTTTTTATTGTCAGCTTGTTCAATTGTTTATAATCAACACAAAGCCGAGAGCTGCCATCCTTCTTCTTAACAAGTAGCACAGGAGCACCCCACGGTGATGCACTTGGCCGAATGAATTGCTTCTCCATTAACTCTTCAATCTGCTTCTTGAGCTCGGCCAACTCTGATGGAGCCATTCGGTATGGCGCTATAGATACTGGTCCTGCTTTAGACACCAGATCTATGGAGAATTCCACTTTTCTTGGAGGAGTTAATCCTGACACCTCTTCAGGAAAAACATCCAGGAATTCCATTACAACTGAACGGTTTTCACTCTGCCCACCTTGTATCGAAAGATTTGAACGTTGCTCTTCCAAATGAGACAGTATCAAGAAAAAACTAACGCCTTCCATTAGATCTACCCTTAGTTGAGTGATAGACAACGACAGGTTCTCTTCTTCACTAGGAAAAATCAACTTCTTCTCTCCGCAATCAATAAGAATGTGATTGGCAGTCAACCAATCCATTCCTAGAATTACCTCTAAGCCTTGGAGAGGTAAGCAAATAAGATTCATCTTAAATCTATGTCCATCAACCTCAATAGGACATCCAATGCACACAATAGACGTCCTAACCTCACCAGCTGTTGGGGTTGACACCACCAAATCAAACTGCATTTCACTCTCAATCAATCTCAATTTCTCTACACATGCCTTCGAGATGAAGGAATGTGTTACCCCCGAATCAAACAGCACACAGCAAGAAACACCAAACAGCAAGCAAGTACTGATAATGAGGTTACCTGAACTTGCTGCTTCAACTCCCGTCAATGCATAGACGCGTCCCACTACTTGTGCTCGGCCACCACCTCTTGGTTGACTTCTTTCAGCATTTAGAGGCCTTAGAACTACCCTTCTTCCCATATTACATTCATTCTCCAAATGGCCATTCTTCCTGCACCGAGTACAAAACTTTCCTCCTACCAACTGAGGACATGTTGACTTGTAATGGGGTCCTTCATAATTAAAACAGGCCACTGATCCTTTGTCCAAACTGACCAACCGAACCCGAGGACTGAGAAGAAAAACCAACATTTGTAGAAGGCAAAGGCCGAGTATAAGTGGTTTTCCTCAGACCTGAAGTGCTCTTGGAAGAAATTGGACCCCGAACGTTCTACTGGTGCAGCTTCCTTTGTTGTTCCACCTCCAACGTGTTCTTCTCCAATACCTTGGCTCATTCCATTCTCAAACTGGAGATCAGCAATTTTAGATCACTCCTCAACCCATTCTCAAACTTCCAACACTACCACTCTTCATTTGTGACCATGGTATTAAATCTCAGCAGATGCTTAAGCTTATCAGTATATTCTGATACTAACATTCCTCCTTGCACCAACTGAAGAAATTCAACCTCTTTAGTGAACCGGACGCTATCTGGGAAGTACTCTTCATAAAACTTGTTCTTGAAAACTTCCCAAGAGATGGGAATATGGCTTCCTTCTAATATCAACCTCATGTTATTCCACCAATGACTGGCCTTCCCTATCAAAAGATACTCTGTATATGCCAGCCTGTTGTCCTCCAGGCATCTCTTGGCGTTGTAAAATCTTTCCATGTCCCGTAACCACTGATTGACTTCATTCGAAAGACATTTTCCATTAAACTTGGCCGGGTGATGTTGGAGAAAACTCTCTAAACTCCACTCGGTTTGATGACTAGTAGTGGAAGAGGAAGGTCTAGTTGTATTCCTATTGGTTGATATTATTTCCATGAGTTGCCTTTGGGTTGCCTCTGAATTTGCTCTAGCAGCCTCTGATAACAGTTAAAAAACTGTTATTTTTATAATTAAAATTGACTTCAATTACAACCTTTATGACTTAGAAATTAGCTTGAACTCATGATTTTGTTGAAAATAACAGAGTTAGCCAGGTTTTATGCTTGATTTCCTTGGTTTTGCAGGTTTTGAGATGAAATTATTGAAAGTGAAAAGGGATAGAGATGGAATCAGAAAAGGACACAAAAACTGCAAAAGAAGAGAATCAACAAGTACCGTTCAGCGCCAATTACTGCTGAGCGGCACTCACAAAGCACCGTTAGCAACATATTCATCCATATATTTCAATTCACGTATTTTGTTTCTTCTTGCCCATTGATCATCACATGCATACATATTTACTTTTCAGTCTATTGCATTTGAAACTTACAACAATTTGTTCACAAGTCTTAATTAATCAATAAAATCACACAACTGTCTTGGTTGTGAGTCCTTTGGGATAACGATACTTGGTCTTACCAGGTTTATTACTTGATACGATTCGGTTACACTTGCCGAAGGTTAACAAGTTTTTAACTCCGTCTTTGGGGATTGAAGATTTGTTCATCAAGTTTTTGGCGTCACTGCCAGGGACTCATGGTTTAACTAGTCTATTTGTGTGATTTTTGATTATTTTTGACTTGTTGTGAATTTTGATTTTTTGTTTTTATTTTTCTGTTTTTATTTTTCTGTTTTCTGTTTTCTGCTTTTTATTTTTTATTTTTTTCTTGTTTTTATTTTATTTTATTTTCTATTTTTATTTTCTATCTTCTTATCTTTTCAATTATATCTTTTGATTATTTCTTCTCTTTTCTATCTTTTTGTGCTAACAAAATTTTTCTAGGGTTTTGTTTCCTTGTGTATGCAGGGTAATATTCGGACTAGAAGCAAAAAGATTTCTGAACCTTTTCTTGAAGGCTTGGACGAAAGTAGTTGGAGGAGGTTTTTTTGAACTTCAAGAGAACTATTTTCTTCTCTTTAGACACTCTTACAACCTTCACCACTAAGGTCTTACCATAGCACTGAAAATATGGCAGAGGAGAATAATGGTTGACGGACTCTTGCAGATTACACCACTTTGGTTGGCCCTCAACATTTTAATAGTATAGCAAGGCCGAGGGTCAATGTTGCAAACTTGGAGGTGAAACCGGTGTTGATACAGTTGGTGAAAAGTAATCAGTTTAATGGGCTATCACATGAAAGCCCATATGAACATCTCACCACCTTCAATGAAATCTGTAACACCGTGAAGATAAATGGAGTGCCG